TAATGATGTGATGGAAAATATAATTTTATTAAAGAATGAGTGGTTGAAAATGAGAATTGATTTGAGAATCAGAAACAAACAGGGCCTAAATTTCTAATAATAATTGAAAAGACTTCCAACTAGATTGTCCACATTACTAAACAAGATTAAGCCCCCTGTATGATAGGATTAAAAATATATATTTTTTAATAAATTTTGATAAAATTTGATTAAATTTAATGTTGAAAAGTTATGAATTCCATGAAATATGTGATCAAAATTAATTATTAATTTTGATTTAAATTAAAATAAGATTTTCATCGGGGCCTATTTTTTTGTCACGATGTTTAATACATAATAATGCCATAAAAGAGAAAATAAAATCTCACTTATTATATTGTACTGTGACGTCAAACGTATATACAAAGTTGACACGTTTGTGGTGCTATCTAAGTTGCACTCTCTTTTATTAGGTATAAAACCTGGTTGGTCCCTAAATTTTACACTTCGTAAGAAAAAGGTCCCTAAACTTTACAATGTATTTTTTTGGTTCTTACCTTAAAAAATTCATACTCTATTAATCCTCTGTCTGCATTCATCACTCCAACTAATGTAAGTAAACGTTTTAAAGTTTAGGAACCTTTTTTGCAAAAAGTAAAGAGACCAACTCCTATATATACACATCCAACCTCAAACATCTATAGGAATCTTCAACTTTTCGTTTTCACTTCAACTTATATTTGGAAAGTGGTCGAGTTGAAATTAATGCAACTTGTCTCGATGAAGCATTTATCTTCTTATTTTGTGGCTACTTATAATTCAAAAGTATTTTTCTATGTTTTTGTTCTGTTATGGGCTGCCTGTGAGGGAGTGATAAAGCTACCAGAAAATACTACAGTGCCTGCAATATTTGCATTTGGAGATTCCATAGTTGACCAAGGAAACAACAATGGAATCAAGACATTGATTAAGGCCAATTTTATGCCTTATGGAAAGGATTTTGAAGCTGGGGTTTCTACAGGAAGGTTTTGCAATGGAAAGACACCACCAGACTTGATTGGTACATACTTCCACCCCACCCCACCTCTCTCTATCTATTTCTCTGTGTTTGTTTGTATATACTTCACACATACATGTATATGTATAAACGTATGGATATATAAAACTTAGAGCACTTTTTGTTGAACCTGTTTGGGATCACTTCTGCTTAGATAGAAGAGTTTTTTTAAAAAGTCACTTGGGTTTGCTTTCTCTAAAATTTCTTTTAATCTCGTGAAATTCCAAAAATGTTAAAAAAGTAGCTTTTTAGTTTTAAAAGTAGCTCGTGAGTTTTTAAAAGTTATATCAAGAAATACCTAAAAGTTCAAAAAATTATCTGGTTTACATTTAAGCATTATTTCTGATACGTTCTCTCACGTGTAGAAGATGGTCTCTCGTGAGTTTTTAAAAAGTTATACCAAGTAAGCCCTAAAAGTTCAAAAAATTATCTGGTTTATATGTAAATCATTTAAGCATTATTTCTGATACGTCCTCTCACGTGTGGAAGATGGTCTCTCTCTCTCTCTCTCATATGTGGTAACATGTAAAACTTTTTAAAATGGGTGACAACGAGTTTTGAATCCAAATGTCTACTTTAATATTATTTAAGTATGGTTTATAATAGTTTTTGCTTAATTCAATAATATCGATGTAAAAAAATTATGTCGCTGTTATGTGTGTGCTCACGTTGAGTACATATATATTTTTGATAGATTCTAATAAATGTTATTTTCAATAAATTCTAGATCAGTTTTTTTAGTGTTTTAAAAAACTCTTCTAAACTCGAAGATCTGTCAAAACGCCGCTTTGCTCTTGAAACTTTTTTTTCCTTCCTAAACGGCTAAATTTTTCCTTTCCTCTCTTTCATCTTTTCTAGGCGTACTTTATTAGCTTATTAATTTTTTTATTTTTAAAAAAATATCATTTGACATTGATTTCAAAATTTTAAAAGATTTATGTGTACAAAAGTTAAAAATGATTTTATCTAAATAGTTAAATAAAATTTAAGCTATAGTGCTATCTACATTATGTAATTATGATCTTGAGAGTAGTTATTTTGTTGCAAACTCAAAAAACATATATGAAATTCATATAAATGTATTAAGTATGATTTGTCTAGTTGAAAATTGAAAATATGAAAAATATTCTAATTTTTGTAATTCAAAAACTTGAAAATTGTATAATTGACTAATCGTAGGAATTATTAAGGACATGGTTTTTTATTTATTTATTTTTTGTGTAATTGAAATTTACAACATGTTTGAGTAAACATAAAATTAATTCAAATGTACTTTAATGTACACTTTTACTTTCCAATATTTAAATATACTACTATTTTCTTAGTTATAAGTAAATAAAGTTATTTATTGATAATAAAGTTGAGGTTATTTTTAGATTACTTATTTTCCCTTTTAGCAATGAAACATAATCCTTTAAAATTTACTTGTTTACTTATAATTTATCTTACCTGATAAGTATATATTTTAAGCTTAGCACTTAGTTTATATAATTTTTTTTGAAGAATTTTAAAAGTATAAAATATGTCATATCACACAATTATGACAGATAACTTACACATAAGGGGATAAGAATTGCAAGATCTTAGATTTTCTAACACTAAGTATCATTGTCTATCCAAAATTACTAGGCCATGTAGTAAAAATTTAAATTATGAACAAATATAGGAGATAAAATTCAGTTATTTAAAAAAAAAAAAAAAATCAATTTTCACTTTTAAATGAGGAGATTTGGAAATTTAACATTATTAATGGTGAGAGAAAAGAGAATTAACATGTATGTCATGTGATTATAATTTTACTCAATTATTTGCCTATTTTGTAAGGACCGTCATACTCTACCAGATTGGTACAAAATCTGGTAGAGCCAATGAGTCATGGAGTGGGTGGGTGATAAAACATTTGGGGGGGTTTTTTTAAATGAGGTGGGTCCTCGGGACCCACCTCATGTGAGGCAACCACTCTATCAAGCCTGGTAGAGTAGTTTAATTGTTCTTGTAAAGGTAATAATTATGAAAAAGGCCTGGTAGAGTAGTTTAATTGTTCTTGTAAAGGTAATAATTATGAATATATAGAAGTAGCCTAAGTTGGGCTAAGATGTCTAGCATTTTAGCCCAATTTGATTTAAAAAATAAAATAAAATTGGGATCAAAATAATTGTACCCTAATTAGCTGGAAAAATGGTCCTTCAATGCTACCCTAATTAAATAATAACTAGGGGTGTCAAATGATACACATATTGTCAATATAGCAACTTTTGTTTTACATGAACCAAGCTCATTTCAATATGTGTTTCTAATTTCAGCCGAAGAACTAGGGATTACAGAGATCATACCCGCTTATCTTGACCCAAATTTGAAACTCGAGGATCTTAAAAAGGGTGTAAGCTTTGCTTCCGGAGGTTCTGGATACAATCCCGAGACTCCTAAATTAGTGGTACATAAATTAAATACACAACTTTTAATCCTGTCCTTTCTAGACATAACACTTCCAACATTTTTAGTACATGGTCTAGACATTTCGTTTGGTTCATCGTACCAACATAGTGTTAATAAATTCTTTAGTAGTGTACTAAAATTGTTTCCCTTTATCTTGTGTTAAACAACAGTCAGTTATATCATTATCAGATCAATTAGAATCATTTAAAGAGTACATTGGGAAGCTCCAAGGGGCTGTTGGAGAAGAAGAAACACACAACATTTTAACCAATAGCCTCTACATCGTGGTAGCAGGCAGTGATGATCTTGCCAATACCTACTTCACACTTGGTGTTAGCAAGTTGCAGGACATAAATTCCTATACTGATCTTATGGTTTCTTCAGCTTCAAGTTTCGTTCAGGTACATATTTGATACATTTGATTAATTTTAGAAATCTTTTCAAGTTACGTCTAATTTAACGCAATCATGCTACATGTACATCTTGTTATACACCAGTTTTTACATTGTGCCACATGTCCGCATATGATTGAACAGTTTTGTTTTTTTTTTTTTGAAAAAACTTTCCCACTCGACACCTTTTGAATTTTCACACAATATACAACAAAATGTAACCCAAGAAATACACATTTAGCATAATTCAATTTAACGTACTCTTGATCAAGGATATGTGAGGCAGGTTGGGTCATCCCGACCCAACTTTAAAAGCCTATGGCTGATAGCCGCTTTTACTCTTTATTTTCTAAAGATAAGTGAAGGTTGCTACTGCCCACTTGGCATGCTTACTCGTGATTCAATATATGATTGTAAATCTGAAAGTTGTGGATCTCATGAAATATGTGATTAAAATTACTTGTTGACTTTAGTTTTATTTTAATCCAAACCAAACGGAGGCTTAGTATTGTGATATGTACTAATGTTTAGTCCCAACGTTGCAATTTTGATATTACTTTTATAATTTCTTGAAATTACTTATGAAATTAAATGATTTTGTAGGAAATATACAATCTTGGAGCAAGAAGAATTGCTGTTTTTGGTATCCCACCAATAGGATGTTTGCCAGCTCAAAGAACCCTAGCTGGTGGTGGTGTTAGAATGTGTGTGGAAAAGTATAATCAGGCAGCACAATTGGCTAATTCCAAGTTTTCATCTGAATTTGATTCACTTGCTGAAAAGTTACCTGAATCCAAAGTGGTTTACATTGACATTTATAACCCTGTTCTTGATCTCATTCAAAGGCCTCAAAATTATGGTAAGAATATTTTGTTCTCATTTGTTTGATTTTATTTTTGGTGAAAAAGTATATATATCTCTTATTTCGATTGTTGAAAATGTCGAAAAGAGTTTATAACGACTCAGAACCATCTTTCTTACTTAGGGAAGTACAAAAACATAATATACTTTATAAAGGACAAGTTCGACCATCTATTCAATTGAGTAAAATTGAAACAAACCCTACGATTCGAGCCTATATGTTTTATTGTTCTTGTCCATCCCATATTCTTCTTCTCTATTTCACATACACACAAAACGCCAGGTGAAATTAACTTATTTTTGAATGATCTCAGGGCTTGAAGTAACAGATAGAGGATGTTGTGGCACAGGAAATATAGAAGTGGCAGTATTGTGCAATAAATATAGTGGAACATGTCCAGATGACACTAAGTATTTATTTTGGGACAGTTACCATCCCACAGAGAGAGGCTATAGAGCTCTTGTTGATCAAATCCTTCAAAAATATGTTAACAGATTCTTCTGAGCCAATTCGACGTCTCTGATTTCATCAAATAATTTCTCAATCAAAATCAAACATTTAAGGTTGTTCCCTGCTAGCCATTTTCAATTCCCAAATGTTTTTTTTAAAATCATTATTATGTATTCTTGATTTGTCCAGAGAGTGCTAAAAAAGTTGGATGATTGTGTAAAAGATTTAAGCGTTGAAAGTAATCTTTTGAATTTAAACATTTGTTTGTTGAGATATTCGAGATTAGTTCTAATGGCTAATTTGGTAAAGTGAGCTATATATTAATGGATAATACGAAATAAATTAATTTCATAAGTAGATATCAAATCTTTCTCTGGAAATTCTCTTTCTCCCTAATGGAATATTATGTAGTTATAATTTCAACAATTAACAAAGGGGCAAAAATCGTATATAACCTACTAAAAAATAAAATAAATGTAAATGATACAGTTTAATATATGTACCTAATCGAAATATTAAAGCGATAGCAAAGATAATAATTTGAGGTGAGAGAAATAAGCAGCCTGGAGGATAATATAGTAATTCAATGCCAAGTTTTAATATTACCTTGCAAGAGTTTGCTGTCCAGTGGACCCGTCTGATTTGAGAGCAAAATTGATTTTTGATTCTAAAATTACGCCTAGACACGCACTAACTGATTTGCATCATGTTTATGTTTTAAAAATAAACGATAAGGTCATCATATGCTGTAAATATATTTCTAAATTAGAAAAAAAATGTGATTCAATGATGTATTCAATGTTTGGTAGAAATGTGTAATGAATGTAGAATGCATCTTAATGAATAGATCATAGAGTAAAGCTGTTTGGCCAGGGCCATAGACCCTCCCATCAAGATGGAGCGCCACATGGTGCCCTAGGGCCATATAGCAGCCCTCTAGATCTTAATACTTCCTTTAGCATTTACACAGATTATATGGATGACACGTGATAGCAATTTGATAAAATGTAGTGTTGATTGATGCAGATATGAATGCAGTGAATTCCTCCACGTTAAATTTTAGCTTACGTCGTTTGAGCCATATTAAAATTTTCTTTCTCATTATTTTACTTATTTTTTTAACCACACATTTTTCAATAAAATAATATTTTTCATCATATCAGTAGCTTTTCTTACTTTTTTCAACCACACATTCTTCATCAATCTACTATTCCAAAATATATTCTTCTAAAATAATGTGGCTCAAATACACCCTTAAATCCAAAATTTTGCATAACATTTTCCAAGTTTTTGTACAAAATTTTCAAAAAATTCCTTAATAGGTTTTGATTTTACCCCCACAATTAAAATTTTGTGAAATTTGTTCCAAATCTAAAATTCTAACTCTGTCCTTGAGTTGATGTACAGTTTAAAGATGTCGTGGGAGTGTGATTATGTGGTTGACATCATGTGTGGTGTGATGTAGTTGTTTCTTGTGTGGAACCTGATGAATGACAATCTATATAGTGATCTGATAAAACATGTAGTTGTCGTACATATGAAATGCAGATGCTTAGACTACTGTGAATTTTCATTTTGCATTGTCATGCATTGAATGAAACGAAAGAAATACGCGATGCACACCTTTTGCAACACCGTCACAACCAACATCACTAATGTAATTGCTTCATAACTTTAAAAAAAGGAAAGTTGAATATCAAAATACAGATTTAGGTAAATTCTCAAAATCACAAAATTTGGGGCGGAAATATAAAAAAATAATCCAACTTTCTCCGAAACTCAATGGAACTCCCATATGATGCATTTATTAAAAATTTCTGGCTACTTGACCCTATAGACTTTGGCCAGTCCAGTGTAATAGGTCGTATCTTGTTGGATCCATAGCTTGATCTTTGCTTGAGATTGGCTTGAAAATGGATGAATTTTTTTGCACCACGTAAGGCAATAAAGGCGTTCCTATGAAATGATAATTAATACTGCATCCTGCATAGTTATTCATGCGAGATGTTCCTGTTATAATTATTCAATAATCATGCTAAGAATAAGAATCACATATATTAATTGATAGTTCGAAATTCATACATGCGGAATACATTGTTATCTATGAATATTACCAGCTAGATCTTGATCTTTTTGCTCCTCACAAATAATCAGCTGTCAATGAGGCAAGCTAATAAAAACAATATGGAGAGGAGATGAGACCTAGCCAGTATATAGGAAATCATAAAGTCGGCACATTACCGATTCTAACCCTAATTAGGATTTACATAATTCCAGCACACATACTCAAAATTACTACATTATAATAATATGGCCTGTAAAGTGTACAACGGTCCAAGTGATCACTAACATATCGGGTTTAATCATAGTATCATTGCAAATTGTACATCTAACCCGTAAAATTTGTAATCAAATGGAAACCCACATAATAGAATTATTCTAACATTGTCACACTTGGGTAAACATTTGATTGCTATAGAACAAAACTTTTAACATACTGACCAGACTACATAGGTGGCCACACAAGTATAGCTGCAATGATAACACATTACACAACATGATACGGTCCAACAAGAATGTCAACATCGACCATGGAAGTCGTTACACCAATCAAACGATGTAAGACAACTCCACAGCTATAAATGCCAACATCCTTATCGACATGGATCATCATACTCCAACCAATGTAGTAGTATGCAGTATGAACTTAGCAACAAATGTGATTAAAAACCTGTGTCAATTCATATCGATCCTCAAAATGTTTCTAATCAGAATGAAGTCACATGTCTCTAAAAGAGACTCATCTTATGTCTTTAACTGTCATATCTCGAGATCAAAATGATATCATAATAAAAGACATAAGTCAAAATGCATGCTCAAAATAATTTATGGATATGGGAAAAAAAATATGTTATTATTGGAAGAGGCTGTACCCGAAAAACATATGGGTTGCCTACGTACCCCTTGAAGGGATCAAGCCAAAAACATAGTTCTCTTACATAAATAACTCCCACTAACCAAAAATATCAAAAGTTTCCACAATACCCATATTAGCAACATGTGTCGTAAAAACTTTAGGAGCGAGTCCCTTAGTTAAAGGATTTGCAATCATCACCTTTGTACAAATATGCTCTATCTTCGTCTGTCATTCTTTGACTCTGTCTCTGACCACAAAATATTTGATGTCAATGTGTTTAGATCCACTAGAACTTTTAT